AGATGACTGATGTTAGTACTATGATTTGCGAACATAACCTTAGGATTTGATTGGTATTTGTGTGAAATGTCGTGGTGACTGGTAAATCTTTTAGGTTCAATGAATTCTAAGGCTCTAAATCGACTTTCTAGAAAGCTCTTAAATTGACTATACGTTGGTAAATCCACAGAGTTATCGCTAGAAACTGATATTTCCCATTGTTTACGTGTTTCTGGGTCGAGTTTGTATGCAACTATATAAATTATTATTACATCCCATGTACTCACATCGATATTTAAATTTTTTAAAGCATTAATACAATCCGTAGTAGTATCTAAAATTTCTTTTATGGAGCCGGCTGACTCAATATGTACACGTTTTTGTCCAATAAATCTTTTTAATATACAATTAGCTAAGTACTTTTTATTATTATATCTATTTTCTAGTTGTTCCCAACATTGCTTATAATTATCGTCTGTTGTAGGTATATAACGAATTAACTGTTCAGCTTCGCCTGTAAGATGCCCCTTTAAATAATGCATTTTATGTACATTGTCAAGCGAATCGTTTTTGTGAACTAAAGATATAAATAAGTCTCGGAACGTACTCCACTCAGAATATTTTCCCGAAAAAGTAGGTATTGCAATTTGTGGTAATCTTACAATTGAAGGAATAGGATTATCATTGCTTTCAACCTTTTTAATAACTGAACTCGAATCTTGAGGACTTAAACTTTTGTGAGAAGCTTTTAATAATGTTCTATAATCTAAATAAATGTCCTCAACACTGCCATAAACGTCATTTACTATATAGGGCAATGAGGATAATTCATCGGTTGAAGCAATTTGCATTAACTTGTTGTTATTTTCTCTAAATTGAGACCAATCCCTTTCCAAATGTTCTGTTCTAACTTCAACATATTCTAAAGTGATTCTACTTTTTGGTGATTTATTAAAGTTAATTAAACCTCTTTCAATTGCCTTTTGAAGCGACAGTTGCATCTTAACCAGTGCTTCCATTTTTTAAAATTACAATAATAAATTCAATGAACAAAAAAGAGATCAGTTACCTTACTATTCAAAAACCTAATGAAATCCTATATTTTATCACAATAATAAACATCAATTGAATATTATACAAAATAATTAAATATTTACAAAATTATTACACTCGCATTCCTTACACTAAACAATTCGAAAGTCTTGTTCATTATATATCCTTTATGTATCTATGTTCTTCTATAGAAGTAATTAAGTTATAAGTTGCAAATCATCAATAATACACCACTGTACTTACAGTTTATGCACTCTCACAAGCACTATTATGACGACGCGTTACTATTTTTGCTGTCGTCCACCACAAGGAGTTGTTTTGTCGCGTTCGGAGATGTCACAGGAATCGTGATCGCAGCTTACTTACATACACCCACCAAAAGGCGCTCAAAACGCTGGATGACTCGATGACGTTATCAATTCCAAATTTTGCGTTATATTATTTTCTTCTGATTCCCCGGATAGAGAAATGCAATTTCGACATGCAGCACTATCGGCATGCCACCATTGCCTGCTAACTTTGACTTACTCGGACAAACTTTGAATCCGTTACTTTTCTTCTTGGTACGCGAGTATTATATAACTTTATTGGTCTTATCCGGTTCACTATGGACCATTTGTTTGTTTCGATAGCTTGATGAACTGTTATTTGTACTTTAAATAAAAAACCAAAAGAACTTGTACTGGAACTATATTTATCAAGAAGACATATTTTTTAATAACAAGTTGATTGCCATGGTAACAACCCTACACCTTTTTAATACATTCTTTTTAAGGAGTCTAGAAAAGAGGTTGACACACTATAATCACTAAGGCTGGGATAACTGACAACCGACATCTGCAGTGATGTTTTATTTGAATCACCAACAAACTAAACATTTATATTTATTTTTATATAATTTACAAAATAAGTGCTAAATATATTGCTGCTCTTTTATAATTTGAACAAAATATTTAAAGATATTAAGTATGTATCAGTTATCTGGTTTGCAACTTTTCTTAAAGGACTTATGATCTTTATAAGCATACCCTATCTTAGCATTTGTTTTGGTATCGTTAGTTATAAATTAAGTATATCATGAGTTTCATCATAAATTACAAAAACGAATAAATAAATGCGTAAATAATCCAACATAAGCTATTGCTTTGTATTTATTTTGTCTATGTAATTTAATATTAAAACTCTGGTTGAAGAGACGGTGTTTTAGTTTTTTTTTTACGTAGTCCTGATGGTCCTGGTTTGGGGTTCTCATAAATTATTCATATCTTTTTCTCTTTTTCAGATGTCAAATAACATAATATTCTTAAAATTTCTTTGGTTATTTTTTATGTTTTGTTTCGCTCTCTTTGTCTTTTTCTATTCATTTGTAATTGATAATTTATTTTGTTCTTCTCACTTTCTTTATCATGGGTTACGACTTTAGCACCTGGCGCTACCTTTCAGCGTCGTTTTGGTGACTTATTACCACGTTTCAATTTATGTAATATTAGTTCTTCTAATGAAACTTTTCAGTCTTGTACAGAGGTCTCAGTCTTTCGGTTTCAGAGCGTCGTTATAAAAGTTAATCACTAATGCCAGTAAACTTTTAAAAATCTTTGCACTGATTTTAGTTCTTGTCTTGTGTACTTGTATTTCCGTCGAAACAAGCCGCCTATTATCGAATTCTATCCAATGCTTCAACTTTAATATATGTAATTATTTCCTTTAATTCCTTCACGGTTTATGTAATACAAACCCGCTTTTCTGAAGCTATTGCGTCATATCTGAGGATTTATTTCCGAACATACCCATTAAATAATTCGAGCTAATTCACGATTGGATAACATACTTTCTACATTCGTCCACTGCCATCGAACCAGTAAAGGATCCTAACGATCTTTAAAGGACTTCATCAATAATGTATCCGTGGGCTGCAAAATGTGACTGGTACGCGCTGACACTTAAAAATTGTTATACCTTCTTTGGACGTTTGTTCAAGTATATTCAATCCCATGTGTGTGGAGTGCTCATCGTACCTATATACTGGATGTTAGTCTTTGACTACATGTAAAAAAATTCTTGAAAAAAGATTCGAAGACGCCTGACTCCATCCAGCTATTCTGAAGTTGCGGCATAAGATGTCCCGGGGTGATATCTTCCTGGTATTACTCGATTTGCTGCGTGGCCTATAGAACTAGCGTTTTGAGTTTTGGCCGGTTCTTGGGAAAAACTCGTTTATTTGAGATTCCAAATGGCTGCTGGATTGTCTTTTAATTTAAGTCGCAAATTGTATTTTCCAGAAGGTCGAAAAAGGGGTAGGCTATAAATGGAACTACCGCCTTTTTTCGAGTGTATTCTACAAGAAAAACACAGCTAAAATCTAAAGACTTTCAAGTTTTTTAAACTTTTCAATGCAGTATCATATTAAGCAATATCAACGAAAATTAAATGTATGGAAATTATACATTGAAGCGGCAACCCTTGTTAGTATATATCTATAATTAAATATTTTAAATGCTCTTTGAATATTATAAGCATCATCTCCTATAAGAGTGACAAATCAGTGGCTTTCACCTTTTTTATGCTTTGATTACGTTAGCATTTTAATAATTGCAGAAGGTATTACTGAGGGATCTCCCCCTCCCCTCACCGGTATAAGTTCCGCAAACAACTATGCGTTGGAATCTTGTCCATATAACCCCCGCGTGTCATATGAAAATACAAAGTATAGATAGTAAGAGATTAAATATTTATTAATAATTCCCAATATATTGTTATAATAATTAAATTACTTTTATTTTCATTGATTTATTGCAAAAATATTCAAGAGCGGTCAATTAATATGTTAAAATTGAGGTACTTACATGAAACAAAAAAATATGAAGAAAATAACATTTACTTTGTAATAAATAACGCGATAAAAAAATAAGTTAAAAACTATAACCCTATAGCTAAATCACACTTTAAAAAGTTAGAAACAAAAAAGAATATTTTATAGCGATAACCATATTATAATAGCAATGATCAAAGGACAGCTCTGCTTACAAAGTATTTTGGTCACCCTAAAAAGTCGATTGGCCTGAGTATAGTCAGGGGATAACAGATGGCCAAATCAAGAAATGGCGGCATATCGTGATAAGCCCGGGCAGATCCCGATCGCCCAATTCAACTATTCTACGACCTATCCTTATCGTAACACCCCGGGTTAGTAGTAGTCTTGGGCGTAATAGTTCGTATTTTCCCAACTGAGATCGAACAAGTTAATTCGCGACTCCTAATCTTAAACGAATTAGTTCGATCTTATAGTTCGTTTGTACTAACATACCAAGCGAGTTATATAAAAGGTTGTAATAAAAATAACACACTTTATATTTTTAATAAAAAACGAAGCTAGTTCGATCGCTAACTACATTGGACTACGGCGGCCGGGTGGATTTTGTATGACCCACTCGTAAGGCGATCTGCCTTGCGATTTCAGACACATATGAACCAATCAATCTTGTTTTGTATTTCATACAAAAATGGAACTAATAGAATTTCTACACTTAATGATGTAAATTCAGACACATGAGTGAATTCGAATTCGGGTTCGGAATTTTTATAAAATCGCTTCCCAGGACAAGATGCGATCATCTGAGTCGTCATTCTTTTAATGGAGTTCAATAGAGATCGCCAATATTGACATTTCAAAACTGTATTCCAAAAAATAACCTCAAATTCCCCATCTCTATGGACTTAAGTTGTCAGTTGAGTTAGCGAATAGGCCTACTGGAATCTTTCCTTTTGCCGTCGTTGTAGCGAGCGATGTTAGCGTGATGTGATAGATGTCACCACAAGCGCATAAATATGTGACAAGTGCGTATCTGTTTGGCGCTGGGGTAAGGAGTAATTTTCATATCATTTAAATAATACAATGATCGAATTCAATAAAATATATGTATTACGCATAAAATTATGTTTTTTTTTTTGTGAAATGAAAGAAAAATTTCAAAAATTCTTAATCATTTATTCAGAGAAATAAAAAAAACTTCTTTGATTTTTGTTCATTATTTAAGTCAGTTATTAAGTTACATAACAACTAAAATTAAATTAAATGGAATGAGTTTTCAGAAAATATTTGGAAAGTAACAGATAACTGCAAAACGCTTAAACCGATTTTTTCTCATTACAATAATTTTATTACAATTTTAATGATAGTTATCTTAAATTTACTAACGAAGCTTATAAAAATCGTAGTGAACAACATTATTGTTTAACCCATATTGCACAGACATAGCATTGATATAACGAAATCTTTATGACCAAAAACGTAAAGAACTAATTTATTTGTTACATATAGACCACGTATAAAAATACATAAGAACTAAATAAAACAATTTAGTTTGAATTAATACAAAGAGATATCAGTTGAAATCGAGTATTTTAAATTAATTATGTCATGTTTTTACAGTAAAGTTAATTGAAGGATTCAGTAACGTTGCACATATCCTAAACTGAAATTTAGTAGAATTTTTGACTATCACAAACCAAATAAGCTTCATAAACAGCAATATTGTAATTTATACTTAGTTCCTTATGGTTAAATAAAATTGAAAGATTAAGTGTTTCTGTTCTTGTTATATCCATATAGTTAGAAAGAGACGTTTGAGAAAACGTGCAACATTTATTGAGTCAATATCTTTTGCAAATACTCTGCCTTCGAAGTTTGTAATATGACTAAATGCTATAGAATTTCACTATTCCGTTTGATGACTGTTTTATAATGGAATCATCTAATCTAATAGAGCATTTTCATTTAAATACTTAAGAAAAAATTGTAGTCTTTGAGCGATGTCATAATTATAAATAAGAAATAAATTCTAAATGACAATATTTACAATGAAATCTTATTTCGAACGAATAAAAATAATAATATACAATACTTAGTATTAAAATGTACAGATTGGAAATTACAACTACCGTCTAAAATACAGTCGTGTCATTAAATATTGTACAATAATTTACAAAAAGCCTAACTTCACTATGATATGCAATAAGCTTTACGTAGTTCACTGGGGTTTTTCTTGAGAGTGAAATAAATATATATCTTTATTTTAATAAGTTATTGTAGATGAATAACTAATTTAAGTAATGTAAATCTATGAATGCTTTGACGCTGTGGAAAATAGAATTGTGTCTACGTAAAATATAGAAAAAGGTAATGTAACATCTTATCAGGATTTAAAGCTAAATGCAATCAAATATAGCCGTAAGCACCAAATTTGGCACATCATTATAATAATATTAATACATACTTTACACAGATCTCAAATAAGCAGTCACATTACGAAAACTTGTCATCTTTGAGTATTTAATAGTTAAAAAGTCTTCTTGTCCGTATACAAATTGAGAAACAATGTGTTTTGAAACGAACCATTAATAATTTATTTACAATTCACTATAATAAGGGAGAATTCCCAAAAAAACTTGTGACAGTATTGCTTAACGATAACAAAAATGCTAAACTTAACAACGGAACAAAATTCAAAACAAAAAATACATTTGAAAACATTTGGGATCTCACTTGCACATATTTAAAGCCCACGGCAGAAAATGGAAAACCCTCAAACTTATCTCATATATGGCTATGATCCAGCCGAATACCAATTCGTATTCGGAGGCGCTGATTTATCAACAGTTTGGTGCGAATGAGTTGCGTGGGCAGCGTGAGCTTGTGGATGATAAAGATGGAACGATGACGGCGGATGGAAGAACTGTGATTGGTCTAAAGGAGACGCGTAATCCAAAGCACCAGGAACGGCTGAATACGCTTGCGGCTTCAAAGGCAACGGCGTCTCGCCCAGATACGAGTGCCTTAGTGCCTCGGAATAAGCACTGTTATCGTATGACAATGCGTATTGTTGTTTATCCCTCGGAGAGACTGATCCTGGTGGTGTCATAGCTGAATGGTAATCAGCGTAGCCCCCGTAAGCTAAAGAACTTATATCTGTACCCTTATGACCTAGTTGTTCTCCGTAACTGGAGCCTTCACTTCCTGGTGGTGTAGGCAATGGTCCATTTTGGCCATCGCTTGAATAATAACCACCAGTTCTTCCATCCCCTAAGAAGTTACTGCGAATGACACTTTCTCTATTGGCATACAGTTGTCTTAGTAACGCTGATGCTGGAGTAGTGGTGTGATTGCCAGGGATTTGTCTATTTAAATGGTTCAGATGATGATTCTGAGTACCGATCCATTGTATTGTTGACTTTTGTTGTTGCTGTTTTAACAAAGCATCCGTAGAGAAGTCAGTGGGTCGGTGCGATGATATCTCTTTGCCGTCTAACGATACGGAGGGCAAGTGTTTTGACATCGCATTTTCTAAGTCCCTCACCGATGTTGCGTCGGTTGTGCCTTCGGGTATTGATAGATTTGTTTTGGTCATTTCCCGTTCGACAGGCGATATTGCCGCGCCAGGGTTGGAAGAGGACTTCCGTCTCTCCTCGTCTCTTTCGTCGTCTTCATCGGTAGTGTGTTTTCGTTTTTTCAGTCTTCTCGCTGGCATTGGGGATGTTCTTTCTGGATTCGTGTGTAAAGGTAATGGTTGGGCATCGCTTAATCTCGTTAGATGAGTGACGTCAGAAGTTGGTACGGGTGCCGTAGACGCTGCTTCTTGATTCGTCGGCGGTTCCGTTCTTTCTGTTGGATGTCTCTGTGGTGGTGGTGGTCCTCCCGAATTATCAGTATCTGGCGGACCATTTTCAGGATCCCCGGTGCTTTCTTCGCGTTTAACACCTTGTACACTCTCTTCTAATTGACAGCAATCCATCACCGTGTTTGGATATTCCCGACCACTGAAAAAGGAAATAAACAATTAACGTAATCTAGGAAAGTGAGTCATTTTGATATTAAGGTAACACAAAGTGCACCGATGTTAATTGTTGCTTAAAAGAATAAATCAGCTAGATATGGAAATTGTCACGGTGTTGTGCATGTAAACAATACTGTTCTTTATTTAGCCGTGATGTATGATGGATAACTTGCCTGATCACGTAGTTGACACAAATGATGTTTTGCTCTTCGGCATTTTTTGATGAGCAAACGACAGTCGCGCATGTTTGCATCCATGTGTACCCGCCTAGTTTGTTCATTATCCTGTAGTAGTGCGTTAGCACTTGGCCTTTGTTCATTACTGCAACAAAGAAACAAATCACCTTAAAATTGTACACTGATACGATTTGAAAACTTTTTGCTTTTCAAAATAGATATTTATAAAAAAATTTGGACACAATCACTCAATATCTACCTACATCTAAATACTTTTATCAAGGACCTATCCTATATTCAGAAATGAGAAAACCTCCGTGGGATTGGAATCATTGCCTTTACTATTTGTTGTGATAGAGCCTTAATGACACGCTCTTTGTACTCACTTTCAAGTGTCTAATATCGCAGTTCAAAAGATAGAGTTTCTTGTATAGTAACCCCCATAACATTGAGTTTATTTACTTTTTTGTAAACAGTAGTTATAATAAACCATTATATAGACGTACATTTGTTATCCAGATAAACAGACATATTTGTGGTGTACTGATGGTACTTTTTATGGATAGAATTCTACGAAGAAATGATCTTAGAGCAAAGGCCTCCCTCATAGATTGTGGTTAAGTAGTTACAAGTACCACAAAACCAACAGCACCAATAGGACATACAAAAAACAAAGCAAAACAATTAGTCACCAAACTAAAGTAACAGTGGACTTTTAAGGAAACTGATCGCAATAGTGTCTCCTGTCAATTGGATTATGCGACCTTGTGATTAATGTTAATCGGACAATGGGTTATGATGCCAATGTAGCTACTGGTAGTACCTACGTACGAAGCCATCATTATATTCAATAGATTCCACACACGAAAGACAAAATGAACACATGTATTGTGCTACGTGAGTCATTAGGGTAAAGTCAAGTTTTGGTTTGTTTTCGCATTGTTTATTGTTGCAGTTAAATAATTACAATCGTAGGTGCACTTGGATGTAAGCCAAAAAGTGAAACTGAATTTGTAAAAAAATATGGATAGCTATTATTCGTAATGATAGTTCCTTATAACACATCCAAACTAATTGCGAAAATCTTTTTCCCTAGCGGGTATGTATTTTATAACTGTATGAGCTCTACCTACATGTTCATAATTCCAGTCCCTTCTTTTAATTAACCATGTCAAAATAAATCATTAGACCCAACCGAATATTTCACTGTCGGAAGTCTTGGATATAATCATTTAACATCATTAAACTATGCGCGATTTGAATACATACGCACAACATCGTCAATAACTTCATCAAGCACCCACGACGCGTAAAATTCTGTAACCAAATTACCCGCTTTCTACAAAACACCCGGACTTTTATGGTAATTCGAACAATTGATATTCTACACCCGGATTGTCCACATTTGACCGGCATCTATATAGTCATTTACAATGCAAAGTAATGGTCTCGTAAAGCTATCAACAGATATGTAAGAGAAAAACAGTATGACGTTAACCGCACCGTGATTGGCGTTCGAATCGGCGCCATTTTGTTATACGTTAGAATTGATTGGTTAGGAGATCGTTACGTCAGAATATATTCATTCATTCATGGTCTGTTGTTTCCATGATAGTTAATTAAGAGTCAACGTATTGATTTGTTTTTAGACTAGTCCATGTATTTGCCACAAATTCTTGTTATATCCATAACAACACCTAGCCACAAGAATTGTCGAAATTAAAAACAAACCATTGCAGTACCTACTGATATATTTTTTTAGATTTCTCTAATATAATACTCGTTATTCATCTAAGTAAAGTAATTAAAAAAAAAAGAGTATAGGTACATTTACAAAAGCTATCCCAAAGGACATTAAGACTTGACATTTCCCACGTATGCTCAGGGAAAGGAAACAGAAATGATGGTATAAAAATTATTATTCAAATCACAACTCGCGCGATGCCGGCGCTCGGCGTTAGGCCTAAATTGTATTCCTCTGACGAATGCGTGGAAAAGTAATAATATCCGTGTGTACGACACTATGATTACATTATTTGAACAGGGATTTTCCTCTTGGTATCCGAATACCTAAAGCTAAAGCGTGATTGAAATATAAAACCAATTTTTTTAGGAATCTCGAATCATTTGCATTTTCTATTAATGTAAGCATCAACCAAAATTTCAAAATTAGATATAGGGGTTTTTTTAAATGAGTAATAATCAACTTAATTTGTTATTGAAGTTAAATTAAATGTTAAATAAAAGTAGGTACAAGAGTATTTTAAAATGCCTTTAAGCAACTTGCTCCACTTCAATTGTACTCTTTGTTCTGATAATCAGTTATTCTTGTCGCCTTTTGATATGGTATCATTCCAGATTTAAGTAGGATTAGTATGATTTGAATTCGTTGCCAACTGTAAACTAGTTGATGTCTATGAATATGTAGTGGGAATTTATTGTTGGAGCAGTGTTGGTCATTAAATCTACGACTATAGGTCCCAGATTTCCCAGAAAAGTAATACGGTCGTAAATTTTCCTGCCTAACACCTCAACTCGACACCTTGAGCTGCATACCGTCTTGACATGGATTTCTAAAGAGTACTCACTGCATACAAATGGTCAGTTGCAACATTAGGCTACGAAGGATTTCACCACGATATTGGGTCATGGGTGGACAATTCATCGATACGTTTATAGGCCGATGGAGTAAGGCATATGATTCATCATTTAAAAAAATACCGTCAAAATAATCCTGATAGACAATTCTACGATTATAATTAGTCACCTTAAATAATACTATTCTTAGGTTCTTAATTATTTTTAACTTTTATTACGAATTATTTCTAATCATGACTACATTAGTCAGTAATGTAATGATCGTGCTTTAACCTGTTAATTTCAGGTATATTGTCAATAAGCTATCAATGAATGAATGAAAATAAATCAGTACTTACAATCTACGTGACATTTTCTAAGTTTATTCGCATCTTCTCCGTGACACAGTGCGTACAGATTCTTTCCCGTGAGTTCTTCCGCTGTATATCCCAGTAGTTCTGACACCCTGCTGATTATTCAAATAATTTATTAAATCACGTTTCAAAACATTAACTTAATATATTTATCATCAATAAAAGGACAAAAATGTCTGTTTTTTGTACTTAAGACTTTTTTAAACAAAAAGGGGTCTAGAAATCATCCCAGAGGGACACAATTGAAAAATTATAGTACCTGGGTTCGCAGTGAGCTATTCGAAAGTCGAAATTGATTCTTGTGACGAACATATCGGACTCCAGTCTTATTTCATGCACAGATGGCGGTGGTAAGGCTATCGCCAGTGCCACCATTCCGAGGAGGACAGTTGGTGACTTCCGACTGTGTGAAAAGGAGTATTGAGGCCGCAAACGACAAAGCATCAGCACCACCTGAAAGAAAAGAGAGATACTTTCAGAAATCATTCAATACAAATATTGCTTTTATTATTCAATGTATTGATTTTGATTGATACGCTTAATCAAAACCGGTCTGTGTCTCTCCACAGTCTGTTAATAAGAAAAATAAGGAAGAATTTTAGAATCTATTTGTCGTCATACATACATCATTTGAAAAATAATGCCTATTTTATCGATATACTTAAAATGAATGATTGTATGATTGAAATACACATAATAAGGATAAGTGCCGCGGCCCGCGATCGTAGTCGTTAAGCGATCGGTCACAGGATGGGTGACCAAAAAATTATTATCTCGAGCTACTCCGTGCTTCGGAAGGCACGTTAAGCCGTTGGTCCCGGCTGCATTTGCAGTCGTCAATACCCTCCAATCCGCATTGGGCCAGCGTGGAGGGTCATGGCCCATCCTCCTTAACCATCCATAAGGAAGGCCTGAGCCCCTGCAGTGGGGACGTAAAAGGGCTGGTGGTGGTGATGATTGAAATAATATTTTGCATTAAAAAAGGCACAATATTATTGAATATTTTTCTGTCTTCTTTCTTGTTTTTCCGGGACTTTATTAACTCTTAACACTGAAGGTAACACGCGCCAAAACCTGCTTTGGAGTGTAAACAATAATAAAAAAATCTCGTTATAACTTTCTTCTTTGCTCATCGTCGCTGTTCGAAACGTGTTTGATATAGCAGAAATGAACTTTCAAAGCTGTTTCTGGAATTTTATGGAACACGTACCTACTTGATACATATTCTGAGGTAATCGAATACGAGATCAAATGGAAGATGAACTAATTTGAAATTTTCCCAATAAAACCTTAGCCGAAGGCGTTACCATGCCGCGCGAAGTAATAAAGGATATTAATTGCGGAGTCGATGCTCGTGCGAATTGTACAAGCTATTTAGATAAAGATAATAACGAATTATGAGTGCAACTTCATGAATAACATCCTGATAATAGAAGAAATTGGGATTTGCAGAATTTCCATTTGGCAAAATATCTACATCACTACGGGATTCAAGATATCATAAGGCAAGTCACCTTTCAATAGAAGGAAAATAACTTATTGTCATTACAAAATGTATACAAAATAGACTTCGTGTCAGCGAAATAGGTGTATATATTGTAGTTGATCGCTAATAGTTCCCGCTGCTGGCAAGATCACTTACCAATAATGTGAAATGATCAAAGAAAAACTCTTTAAAGAAAAACCCTTTAAAGAGTTCGGTATATTCTCTAAGAGAATTTAGTGTGGTATCCAATAATGAATAGGTTACGATATATTTTTATGACCCACATTTATGGAGAACAAGTTGAAATTAAGTGGTCACAAAACACAAATAAAAATAAAACTTAATAATATTCACCCTAAAAACAATCCATTACGACCAATTTTATATACCTAGTACAAAATTCGCAAGTCAGTAGAGATACAATCTTAGTTTATGATCTAACACCGAGTTAAGGCAAAAATTATGGGCTATCATAGAGCCCTGCGGCACCCCATGCAACGTAATAATTCTAGTTAGCTGTTTAGTATACCTGTAGATACTGTGAAACTTAGCTTTACCAATGAGATATTATAATAAAATAAACAAATTTAATATATATTTTATGAAAAATTTTAAAACACTAAGAGATAGGTATATTTTTTTAAGGTACCTATCTATTCAATGAGATTTTAGATTTATTATTTTCTTTAATTTATTTAATTAATAGGGATATTATTTATTTTGTGATTATTTATTACAGAACACAGATATAAGATTATACTACTAGTATTTCAGAAAAAACAAATTATTTAACACAGGTTGTAAATCTCGTTAGGTACTTCAACCTAACTCATGTCATATCGGAAACCACAAAATTAATTACTAATTGCCTTAAATTATCGTACTTTTTCATACAACGAAAAATATGATCTGACAAATTTTATTAATAACTTATATCCTGTGGCACATTTCAGATACCCACCCGCCAGTTACCACTCTCTCCATTTCGCGACTGTTCACTCTCCTTGCTTCTTCCAACCTAGATTGAAAATGAAAATTCAGCGTCCATTCATTTCTCTCTAAGTACTAGATAAGAAGAAAAATGACCACAGATATTTTCATAAGATTTACTGCATTTGACATTGCTTTCATTCGTTATTCTGTATTCTAATTTATACCGCAGATTTTTTGCTTATGAATTTTTAATTATTCATGTACTACTAGTGTTTTGTCAGATTAAATTTTACGACGATATGAATATAGTATGACGTTCCTGAAGCGTTGTTGAAGTAAGTAGTTACTTGGATATTTTACTTACCCGGTATCCTGACGATTTAAAGTGGCATCCACGTTTTGTGAGAGTGCTCTTCATTCTGACGCAGAATGCACGATCCATCCCTCTGTATAAACTTCCGCTGGCAGCCAAACTCATTTGTGCTGATACTGTGAGATAAACATTTTATAATTAAGTCTTAAATAAGACTAAATATATGTCGTGTTAGTATTGAAATTGTTGTGTATAACTAAAGGTGGGGTTAGATCTGACGGAAAATGCATTTTGTCGATCGTGTAACGTCAGAACTGACACATTAGGTATATGATATATAATATTCGCCCTTGCACACTTGGCGTAAGATCAAATTACGTACTAAAGCATGCTTCCGTGAGACGCTTGTCGGATCTTCCGTCTTTTGCACCGAGTTTTACACTTTATAAACACACTTACACTTTATAAAGTTTACTAAAGGGTTTTAAATAAGAAGTTAAAAGTATATAGGTACTTTTATCTATAAGAGTATAAGTTCTTTTAGCTAAATCTTACTGCAGAATTAGTTATCAAAGAAATTAAAGTTCAACTGAAAATATTATTTCATTGTATAGTTAAATATGTAGGTTTCCAATAACTAAAAAATATTAAAAGTGGCTCCTTAAAAAAATATTTTCTACTAGTTTTAATTCTCGTTGTGCATATTCTTTTAAGCTACATAATTTAAGGCAGCAAACCCATAAAATATGGCAATTAAACATGTGTGAAATAGCTTACTTTGAAAACGATTTAACATTTTTTGAAGGGCATTGGACTGCTAGATTGAATGATTAATTAAAAGATTTTGGGAGACTTGGAACGAAAAATCAGATCAACATCACGCTCTAATTGATTTCCTATAGCTTGCTTCGTGATTTTAAGAGAAATATCAATGGTTTCCAAACTTTTGCTACTCTTTGTGGAGTATATAATTAGATAAACTTTTGATACTGCAACTAAAGTTAATTAGTATTTAATTGATTGTTGACTATTGCAGTGAAAAAATGTTTCGCATGGATGATAGCTCTTTACTTCTTCAAGAAATTTGCCCCAAAAAACCAAACAGATATAGATAATGAAAGTGACTGACATTGACCCTAAATTAGAGAATACTAATGATTACTTTTGCAAATATTTCGAATCCTGTGTTCACTTTACTGGCATTAATACTGTCTTATAGTTAATTTTATGAAACCATATAAGGTATCTATGGTTAACAATACTTACAACACTTATTGCTTACATTACTTATTGGAAACATTTCTCAATATCAGTTTTGTAAATAAATTGTTTTTTCTAGCCTCTCGTTAAATTGATGAACTATTTTCTTTGTCCTTTTATGGGTAATTTTAACATAGGATGTGATTAAGAAATGGTGAACCTGTGAATGTACCAAAACGTCTGAAAAATGTAATAGGACCACCGTAGGCGTGGTGGTTCACACGCCAGTTTCAATGTGTTCCATCTCTGACGGAAATTTTCTTTATTGTCTCTGGTCTGGGTGTTGTGGTACCTTCATTCTCTCAGATACTCCATAATACGGGGGCTTTAGCTTACTCATCTTGGAATCTGAGCAATGTATGTGATGTTGTCTAATATTTATTTTATTTTTCATAAAAACTATTTCAGGAGGAGATTGCTGACGCAGTAGTTAGCTCACTCGGTCTGCGATACGGTTGCTAAGCATCTTTCGCAATAGCCGGTCATAGGATGGGTGCCAAAATTTTTTTTCCTCGTACTCCTACATGTTACGGATGGCACGAAAAGCCGTTGATCCCGGCTGCCATTGCAGTCGTTAATATCCACCAATATGCACTGGGTCCGCTTGGTGGATCATGATTTGGTTTGGATGGAAATCCATAGGGAGGGCTTGAGCCCCAGCAGTGGGGACCTTCAAAGGCTGGTTATGATTGAAACCATTTAAAAGTAATTTTAATTCAAACATATTAGATTCAATTAAATCATAAAAAGTTTCCATTACACTTGATTTATTGATAACTGCAGTTGATTGATATCAAACTTTTCACCTAATTAAATTCCCTAAATAGATAAAAAAACCTATTATTTTGTCACTTTAAAATCTGAAGAGTCATTACTTTATACATAGACCGTTACGTGAGTGATACATACATAAGATTAAACGTTAGTTTCGGAACCAGTGGCACCCATCAATCTTCTTTCAACGTCCTACCAATTTCCATCCACAAATCTACGGTTATCAGATAACAATGTGATGTTTTCTCCACGGACCACTGTTCTGTGACTTATTCACCACGCCTGTCACACCACAATGACGTCTTGTCACACCGTCTCGCTCCTGATTGATTTTTTATCGATACATTTTCGATACAGACAAATTGAAATCGATTCTAGCCCTTAAGGTATTCATGTAAGTAAATTAAAAATTTCAACTAGCAGTTAGTTGGTAAAAAGTCAGTGTCAATGGTTTGACCTAATTAATTTCTACCTGAAAACGTCTAATCGTATGAGGTGTTTGATTACACTATAAAAAATAATTCTTTAATAAAAAAACCTACGAAAGAGATATAAAAAGTGGTTTTCAATTTTCTTAGGTCGGTTTTAGTTTATTTTTTATTATTTTTAGTAGCAAACCTAACGTACACTTCTAATTTGTCAAATTACCTTAGAAAAAACTACTGATCATTCCTCATGGAATTATCCACGTCCGTTTGGATTGAGGAGCCAATTCAGAACAAAACCTAATTAAAACATGTATTTGTGAAATACATTAAGATTTTGAAAGAAGTAGATTCGCTATAAAGATTTCCTATGATTTTTACATCAAAACAAAATTAGTGATCTGATCTCAGTTAGATTTAAATAATACCTGATTAAAAGCTTTCAGTACAGAGATTTAACAATAAATACACTCCTTTTTTAAGTGTGTTTAAATAGGGTTGTTTATGAATAGTACCTTTAATTGACGTATAACACTTAAGTTATAACAAATTAACCAACAACAAATACCAATACAACTTTAACGCGATTCATGACGAGCTATAGGTCACCCAAAGCTTCTTTGTGTTAGTAGCGTAATAAAACAGTGTACAATTGCACTCTTATTAATGCTAAGTATCGTAATTTTCATTTGTGAAATACAAAAACGCATTTCAGCGAATGTAATAAAAAAAACTTTTGCGGTTTTAAAAACATGTTTTACTGCGCAACTTAAATTATAACCGCAGTCAATAAAAATGGATGCAGTGAAGCGAGCAATAACGTCCATTTGACAGTAATATTATATTCGAATGACTTTTTTTGCTCGCTAGACTTTTAATTGAACCCGGCATCAACATTGTCTGATCTATTTTAAAGTGCTTTCTATTGATAATTCCGGTTCATATCTAATGCTCAGTAAGGAGTCGAATTGTCTAATGGCGCCAAATTTTTAATAAAACTTCAAACGAATTCCCATAGCGTTGAAATGAAATATTAATCAGATATCACAATGATTCACACTGACACCCCATTGACCGTTTCATGAGCTCCCAACGCACCGTGAACACGCCATAATCTAATTTCAATTTGTACCACAACTTATTACTGATGACATTAACGGATTCGACATAGCGAGTGAAATTTTGGGATCGGTACTGTTGCCGATTGGTAAGGTGCAACGGCCTAAGGAAACTAATTGAATTCTTCGCTGTTTTTTCTTGTTTTGCTGGAAGAATGGGTGCCTCCACTTTTTATATACGGAATCTTTGAAAAATTGTCGACCACTAAATGAGTAACGGCGTTGTCAATAGAAAGGCATTTTTTACTGTTTCGACTACTGTCTCGGACTAAATAAAGGGGTGATAAAAACTTTAAAACTCCCTGATTTGGAAAGGATTTTTAATAGATCACTTTATGCTACTTTAAACAAAGGCATGGATTATATCAAATAAGTAGGTTATATAAAGAATAGACACGTTATATAAAAAATAGACTTCATTTCTAGTGAGCGCGTTAAGTATGGAAACCAGCATAGAGCCTCTAACGGTAGCTATCAAGAACTACAAATTTCCATATAAATTCATAATGCGTTCACTAGTGGACGCGTTAATGTAAAACTCGAACCGTCTTATTAACGAAGACTGACTTTAGTATTAGGTTTAAATCATTAACCGACAAATTTCAGTCAACAAGTCTCAATTTGACGTTTTTTCACTTCCGCCAATGTCAATTTGCTTTAGGCAACCAATAGTTTAATCCTCGCTAAATGCAATATTTCAACTAATGAAAAAGTTTTTAAGCACTGTCCTCAAAACTTACCATCTGGGTTATTAGTGCCGTGTTGACTTCCCTCCTCGCTGCCAGACGCTGGACTGTTAAGACCAGCACCACCAGACCTGCCTGCTAGAGACAAACCAAGCTGTTCAGCTATCTCCGCGTGGTCTGCCTGATGGACATAGTCGAATATACTGCTGCCCGTCATTTCTACCTGATGGCAAAATATAAGGGGATTTTATAATTATGTTTTCATATTAATATGTCAAGTTGTAATTGCCTATAAAATAGTTGAGGAATTATGATTTGGCATTTAATTATTTTAACAAGGTACACACTAGCTATGCTGCGCGCATAGGCGTAAATTTAGTAAAACCAAATAATAACTACCCATCTTATTAGATATTTAACTGAGTAGTATTAACCGTTTAAAGACTGATAACATAATTATGTTATAGACAAGTATGATATTAACAACAACAAGTTCGTCGTTCACATCTGAATGAACTTTATCTTTTCGACTTTAAACAATTTGGTCAAGAACCTGAGTCAAGAGTCGTAAGCACATTAGACAATGAGTGGTCACGTACACCATCTTCGTTATGAATGAACGTCTCCTTATCAACCATCGCGAGGCAGGTGGCTTTACAATACTCAGAAACTTCAGGTATAACGAGCTAGTTTCTAGTATTGTACGAAACAGGCGCCAGCGTACATAATTTGCCTCGAGATATGAGACCTTTGTAGACCCGTAACAAATTTCTGAAGAATTTATTGCTCGCTGCGTCAACAGTTGTTATTTATAGTGAACTCTTATAATTAGGGTTAATGAAATCATTAGCATATGTTACTGATATCTTAGATGGGTATTTCTAGAGATTTCTTCAGAGTATAGGTTTTGCAATCGAATTGATTATACCTATCTTAGTAATTATTGATCACATATCTACTAGAGTGGAACGTGCCAAAGGAGGCGGAAGTTCGAAACATTGAACATATGTACGCGCCGAATCGTCACAGTTCTCATGTTATCTGTCATTCATTTGCAAAGTGTAAAAAATTCGACTCATCCGCTTTCTTCGGCTCTAATAGATATGCGATCACCATAATAAGGCGTTAAAACTTTCAAGTAACTTCAGATACAATCGGATAACTTTCACGGGCCGTATGTAAATGTTTTAAATATGTTTATCAAATTATAATTGTGGGACCCTATTATAGATTCAAAAGTCGTGTATCCGCAGTGTGGCGGTGCATCGCAATCCTGTGAACAATGGTGTTTATATGGTGGTCTGTTCCACGAATTATTGCTAGTTATACGACTCTATTTGCCGATTGCGACACAAATCTCTAATACCGTTGACGTTTAAATAAAGATGGATATCTATGATTAAAGTCAAAATTATCTTTATTCCGATAGTACAACTCTTTTAAAATGTCAATTTTTGGTTTTGTCAAATTTCGTATTATCGGAATATCCAAAACAACAAAGATACCACAACGCCTAGACCGGAAACAGAAGAAATGTTGAAACTTTGAAACCGGTCTGCGAACTACTCGACTACGTAGATCGAAAACTAATGAAATTACGACGTTTCACCGAAACTTCAGTAATGCAAAATGAGTATCTACAAAACAAATTATCACAGTAAGTATTTATCGATCAGCCAATAATATGTTCCCATCATCTAGATATCCAAAATCAGATACACGCACCAATCGTATCATCTTAAATAATTTCCATGAAGAATACGAAAGCAAACACAAGTAACAATTTTCTCCATCTCTCAAGTATCAAGAATCTAACAAAGTAAAAATAAGATTTCCCATTTTCGACGTTATCATCAGTCTTTAGCGGAACCCGAAAAAATGCCCGCAATAGAATTTAATATAGCAAAGGTTGTCTGCAGGGCCGTAGTTATAAGAAAGTTGTGTCTGCGCTTATTTACCGGGAAGTTTGTATATATTTCATATGTGAACACACGAGTCCAAGACTTATGGGCTTGAGTGTATCAGTGAGAATTTAAAGCTGTGTGCATCAGTTTCGGGGGTGTGTGAGTGGTAAGGTTCGCAGCGGCATTAGGATGGAAGGCACGCGCGCGCCTTACCCGAGACGTGACCGGCATATCGCATCGTCCCTTTCCCCCCATTTTCCGTCTCGGTCACACCACCCCCGGAGCTTGCAGCCATGTTGGGAACGAGAATTTCCCAGTTTTCGCTTCTTTTCTCGGTGCCTTTTAATTTTGTAAGGTTATTTCGTTCGGCTGTGGATTTTATTACTTATTCAAAAACTCATGGTGTTTTAGAGCAGGCATATAATTTTTAGTATACTAAAGATTGTAAAAGAAATTAAACTTACATCTATATTTGATAGTTATTATGGAAATAATATAAATATAATTTTAAGAAGTAGATTTTTTTCCAAAACCACTTATTTGTGACAAACCGAAGTAAAGTAAGGTGTATCTAACGTCCTACTCTTTGGGATAAAAATTTTGTCAATCACCAAAAAAAACTTTCTGGCAGAGGTTAAATTCAGAGAATATCTTCCCTTTAAAAAGATCATGTTTTTAAAATATATGATACATGCAACCAGCCACGTATAATACATTGGCGGAATTGTGTAAATGCAAATAGGCCATGAATTAAAAAAGAAGAAGAAGAAGAAGCCACGTATAAGGCATAACGCGACACGCGTAAAAGAATTTATCTATGATCTCTCCGGATGTCTTTCTAGCGCCGCCGCCGAAAATTTCAGATCATCTCTGCGGACCGTACAGACTGTGTGAATGGTTGCGTATCTATGCATCTTGTACGTGTCGCCGCTGTGAGTAGGTGTGCAACTGATCATAGATGCAATTATGTTAACCGACCTCTTCTGTTTTTATTAGGTAAGTTACATTCTGCTAATTGAAACTCTTTGTTTAACTATCTATTATTGAACTGAAACTATTTCATTATTTCCAAAACATGTTGTTGTTATTTAATTGAAGCAAAGAGATCCAGTTCAAACAGCCTGACTTAAAACAATATTTATATTGTTTTTCATAAAGTGTTAGAAGTTCGACGTTTCAATGCTTATTTGGAATTTTTGGAACTAATAAAAAAAATAAGAACATAGATAATTCTATATATAAAAAATGAAAGCTTGCTAAAATGACGCAAGATTTTCCTGTTTAAAATTCCATATTATTTCACTGAACTATGTGACACTTTTATTTTGCAAAATAATATTATTTATACAACACAGAAGCCTTTATATAGTTAAAATTCTATAAAACATGTTAAAGATTAGCGCCAAAAAACGTAGTAGGTAGCATAACTTCCATATTTGCAATGATTTATTTATTTAACTTTTGCAACATAAGCAGACTTGTCTGTTCTTATTTGAAACATTAACAACCTTTTCCTTTGTCTGAACTTAAAGGGATATAAAATTATTTTCTCGAGTAAATAAAATAATTACGTATTATGAATACTCACTTGTGATAATCCTAAATATATAGATACAGTTTCTGATATGTACAGGAACCTCCCGTCTGCTGCCACTGACAAAGCGAAGCCGTCGAGAGACTGTGAACAAAAAAAAAGAAATAAAAGTTTCATTAGCAATCAGATAAATTATTTAATTTTTATTATTTTTAGTATTTTATAAAGATGAACGCCATAGACAAAGGAAACTTATTATAGCAGCTTTTCGATTAAAATATTGTCCTTATATCGCTAAATAACAAAAATAAATCATCACTGATTCATGATATTGTTGCACTAATATAATATTTGGCGTTGGAAAATGCAATTATGGAAACACTATTGAAGTGCCTTTATTTCGTTAAGATTCGAGGCCCTGGAAAATTTGTCTGGATATGCCCATGATGAGGGAGACTCTAAATACTAGCTAGAATCTTCATTAAGATCCCTTTCGGGGTAAACTGTACTTCTATAAATCGATTTGATAGATTGATTAATTTGAATTTGGTCAGTTTAGTTTTTATATTCATATGTGATTATTTAAAACTCACCTCAAATAATATTACGCTAGCGGAGAGAAACCTAAGTGTCTATTACCACAGTACAAATACATATTACCTACTATAAAAGAATATCGTAATTTTCATTCTTAATAAATACCAAATGAGAACATCAACGACATTAATTAGAACTTAAACGCTCATAAATCAAAATTCAGTTGTAAAATAGATCTAAAAAAGTTCAGTAGTACAAAAGCATGGCGTAAATGTATCAGAGTCGGAGAAGGCTTTAACGTAAAACTAACAGATGCATCTGGCATCAATTTACTGTTCAGAATAAAAAAAGACTAAATAAATAGAATGATGGTGATGATGATGAATAAAAACGATTACCACGAGCCAAATGAACAACACGGATTGAAAGTTTACTGGAAGTGTTTGGAGCGTAGTTACCGTTTACCGCTCTTTCTCGACAAGACTGAATAAGTAGTAGCAGTTTTATATCTTCATTTCATTTACTATAAAACAAGACGTATAACTAAATCAGTTTATATAAGAATGAATTCCAAAGACTTTTAAAATAAAGTTGTGTGTTGTATTATATAATGTACGTATACGAAAAACTTCTTAAATTACTTTGTTAAAACTATTATTATTGGTTTTTATGGGCAATAATTCCTTAGTTATATCATTACCCAATTGCGTATTCGTAATATAAATGAGTATGTGTATATGATATCGTAATAAAATGCAATAATATAATATTATGAAAATCGTCTTCAGACTAAAAGTCATGTAGGGCAAACGCCATCATCAGAAATATTAAGTTCCTATTCCGTATTTATAAATAAAACGCAACATAACCAAAAATCCAATATCGTTAGCATATCTAGAACAAATTATTTTTAAATCGGTGCCATGTTCTGATCTATCTAAAACTTTAATGAGATGCACGGTTGACAAAATGAACCTCCGAAATGAATAAGTTTTTTATATAAAAATCTGCGTTTAAACGGTAGATGATGATAGTCAAAAACAGAGTAAAAAGCGCGGATTATGCTTGTAATAGACCATTGTTGGTCCGCTTGATCTTTTATTTGCGCCGGATTGTGTACGTGAACCTAGTTTTGAACTCAAACAATAAACTTTTTTGTGAGTTATTATAAGCATTCTGCTTTAAAAAAATAAGATCTGTTCATAAAGAATTGTATCTAGTGTTAGTTTTTTTTTTAAATTTTGGATTACAATGTTGCGAGAACTTTGTATTCTAATATCAAATAAAACTTCCTGGAAAGTTAAAACTTTTACATTAAACCTTTGTTTTAAGATGTCAGAATTTTTTATACCGTAAATTTTTTACACCGAAATATCATTACACCGTTGTTTAATCGTGATCATATCTCTCAACGTCTTCTGAGCTAACGTTGAGGAGTGATCGAATAAATAGTCCATTTAGATACTTCTTAAATGTAATCTCAAAGGATAAAGATGATCCAATCTCCATTCAGTATCGATAACTAGCCAACTATTCGGCAATGTGACACTATATTGTCAGTTATCTTTATAGCTTTAAGAGTACGCGAGATTTCCCATCGTCCGTGGGAAAACTATCTGTAAATGAACTATATAATGTATCGACCAACTATTTGCATACGTTTAAAATATCAATTTGACTTTAAATTTTAGGAGCTACCATTTATTTCGCTACTTAACGATAATGGTTCGTCATAAAACTATTCGGATACCAATAAGAGCAGTAGCAGCAGTGACTTACTGCAAATTGCAATAGCAAACAATGATTTGCAAGTCGGCATGCCTTCATGCACGTCCTTACGTTTTTTCTCCTTTTTACTATAAAACCGTACCACTTGTCCCGCAAACGGTTGCGTTTGCCGCGCACACCAAAAAAAAACAAAAATCGAACCAAGGAATCACGTACAGAGCATTTTCAGTTCGGAATAGAAACCACAGCACCCACAACATAATAATGACACGAACATTGATTGCACAAATAATAATTTACGTGATCGAATGACAGTATAATAGATATTATTTATTTTTTTCGGTTAACCCTATCTTTGTGTCGAGACTGGCCCAGAAAGCGTGTGTTTGATTAATTTTAGTGTTATGAAATTTTTAGTGAAATCGGTGAAATATCAAATTGACATTTCGTAAATCTATTATTCTTGAATGTGTCACTGGTCTATTATTGAACGTGTGCTATTGTATGTACGGATTGTAAAAAAGGCGTGAAGACGGTTGCGCAATGAGTCAAGTTCGCATTGCCTTTTGTGGTACGAATTAGTTTTTGTGCTCATAATGAAAGTAAACACGTTAAATTGTATGTTTCAATGTCACGGTGGCTTTTCGTTTTGATGGCATCTTCTGAAACGTCTTTGTTAGTTAACAGTTCATTCAGCTGAATTTGATGATATGGTTACAGAGATGACTCGATTGCCATTAAAAACTTAGTTTAAACAACTTTGATTGAACCAACATGATAAATTCACCTGATGCGGACGGATATTGTGACAATGAATTTACGCATCGAATTTTTATTGATGGTAAAAACTTCGTCTAGGAATGTGATTGAAAACTCTATTTCTGGAATAATTGTAATCCAACAAATATTTTTTCCTGTTTACTTTTGTGTGAGCGTGAATTTTTTCATAGAGGGTGTTTCTATACTGTCGTTAATTTTGTTTAACATTTTTATGTTATTACCTGAAGTATATGTGTGCCCTGATGTTGCTCAAAAAGTTCCATAGCCAATCCCACGGATGTTCTTCTGCTTTGAGCCCCTAAAACAAATAAAACATACGATTTAAGTACACAAAGTATATAAAAAAACACATCATCAAAATATTTGTAATTATCAAAAATAAAGTTAATTCGAATTGTTAACAACATTGTATTACAACAACATGCTTCATCCCGTTCATTTAAAAATATGAAATTGAAATAAGGGAAGCTAGACGTCGTAATAAAACAGTCGCGCGCGCAACCCGACACTGCCCGATAGCATCGCATGACGGATCGGACAAAATGGCTGACGGTAGCAAAGCGGGAAAGTTACGGGCACTCGGGCGGGCAGCCGCTTGCTTTTGTTTTTAACTTGTCGAGGAAAAAGTTTCATCCATAGAGTATTTACTGCATAAAAATAATTTTCAAGGTTAATAAAGCGGAAAAGAATTCTTCCAAAAAGTTCTTTTAACCCTACTTTTTTATGGGTATAAAAATTTACATTTTACTTATATTAACCTTTTATTAAATTTTCGATTTCTAATGTTCTACAATATAAAATATTATGTAAATTCTTATTTTATGAGTGTTATGACTTATTTTATATTTTTCAATAATGGCCTCACCGGAAAAATAATGGCCTCATACCTAAAATAAATAATGCAGACATCTTATAAAGTTTAAGATCATTGATTATTTTTATTGATTTAAGAGATATTTTCATTGGTCGATGAACAATTCCATAAAATAATAAAAGGAAAGACAAGACTTTATTAATGTGCTTAATTTGTTGTAGGTAGTAAATACTTTCCTAATTCTAGTCACATTTTGATCGAATTATGTCGTAATGTTCGTGACGGATCGCCGCTTGTTTAAGAGCTCGTTTTCGACTGTTACGTCTCGCCCAGTCGTGTGTGTCTGTCTGTTCGATGTTCTGATCATAGCCGACGTCACATCACGACTGTCCGTCACGAGCGCAGCAGACGCGTGTCCTTGCCGAATTATGAGTTTGTCATGACACAGTCACTTTCGTTAGGCCGAAATTATGGAATCGCTGTACTCGTAACAGTGTTGATTACCATAAATCAGTTATTTTTTGCCATATTTTCGTCAATTTGAACTTTTTATGATATTTGGTTTCTGATATAGGTACCTATACATGATAACAATTAGGAAAGTGACTAGTGACTACACTACAATTACATACACTTTTCTCAATGACATAAAACAGGTTAAAAGGCACTGCTTTACAGCTTCTCGTCGGTTCTTCCACAATTGCTGGTAAATATGACTTTTTGCGTTATGTAGGTATATCTAAAATCAGGTACCTTTCCTTGTAGATAATGCTTTTAGATATACCTAATTTTAACCTAGTTTTAATCTTAGATAGGTAATTTTTGATACACTTACTTCATTTTTTTATTATTTAAAACATTCTTTGTTTTCGAAAACTGCTAAGTGCCTAAATTAAAAATATAAACTTTGAACACACTAGAGGCAATTCAAGGGCCAGCGAAATTCAAATCGCATGAGAGAGGTTTTTTAAGGGTTTGTGTTTAAATCGTTCACCATGTTTTGAAGCGGACAGAAACATGACACCAATTCTTTTCGTTAAATAACTTTTAGTATGATCATAAACATAAAATCTTTGTTATATTATATTAAATAATAACTATTTGATTATTTCGCATGCGTAAAGTTAAAAACAATTTTGCCTATGGATCTTATTGCAGTAGTTACAGACATTAGACTACTGCGAAAAAATTTCAAGTTGCAAATTTCAGTGCGTTTCTATTTTATGTGTTTATTTTTATACTTTAATAATGATATAATCCTAAATAAGTAGCGAATTTTAAAGCTCACTGAAGTTACAAAATTTAAGAACTATGATTACATATCAAAGAAATATACATTTATTTTTTATCTTGAATGTAATAAAGGCGTATTAATACATAGTTCCAAAACCTGGTCACCAAAAGTAAGCTAGTCGGTAAAGCGAGTCGGCATATCAAAGGTTGCTTTCTCGTGTTGCAGAATTAAAACGTTATAAAGCACACGCCGCGCCTATCGCGCCATCTCCCGGTTAAATATGGCAACCTAAATCACCATGTGAACTTGCCTTTGTTATTTTATGGTCTGTAGTGAGTAGATGTCAAGTGAGGTCTCATATTTTTATACCGTGGGCTGATTTCACAAGGATAAAGATGTATTTTAGTAAAATGATACTTTGTCTGATATAGTGCAGTCGAGATAAGATTATTTTTATAATAATAATGTATAAACAAAACATAATTAATGCACAATTTTTGTCTCACACAAATATGGAAACTAACGGTTGATACTATTTCTGTGCATAAGCCTAAAAAGAGTTAGAATTAGTTTTTATATAAGTTGTGGATAGCCACAACTAATGCATAGATTAGATACAATGGTTTATACACTAATTAACTGTAGTACTAGCCATCGTGACTTGTTGTTTGTATACCATGCTCCTGCCATTTACATGGAATACACCTAATTGTCACGTGCTCAACTTCCGCGTCACCGCAAGGCATCTCAAGTACGGTGACAGGACTCGAAATCACCCTGACAAAGTCAACAGCGTTCATGTAGTGTTAGGCTTTTTGCGCACTGGTAGGTTACTTAATCAAGTAGTTCGGTGGCGCAGAGGTTAAGCGCCGCGGCCTGCGATCGTTGTTGTTAAGCAACTTTCGCAAGGGTCGGTCACAGGATGGGTGACCAAAAGATTATTAACTCGAGCTAATTCGTGTTTCGGAAAGCACGTTAAGCCGTTGGTCTCGGCAGCATTTGCAGTCGTTAACACCCTCCAATCCACATTGGGCCAGCGTGGAGGGTCATGGCCCATCCTCCTTAACCATCCATAAGGAAGGCCCCTGCAGTGGGGACGTAAAAGGGCTGATGATGATGAGGTTACTTAATCACCGTGACATTTTAGTTCCTGTCACTGCAAGAATCTATGCGATGACTCTCGCATTTTAACACAATCAGGTTTCTGTCATGTCATGTTAACAATGGGCAATAGTGTACGTATGCCCTAACAGTTTTTTTTTTTGTGAGAAGAAGAAGAGAAAAGGGATAGCATTGAAACGCCATTTATATGGTATTAGAAAAGTATAAAAACTTACATAACTTTGTGGTCAAAAAAGGAAAATATGATAATAATAAAATGAAATTCCATTGAAATATCGTAATTCTAATATTACAAAGGATGCAGATAGCGTAAGGTTAAGAAGTACAATTTTTTTAACTGTCCTCTTTCTCTGTTTCTCATTAAACATTTCCTGACATGATCGAGACAAATGTCAGCTGACACCTATAAGCCGGAGTAATAATAAAGGCTGCGGAGAGGCCCATTAGTTTTATACCCTCAGACGAACAAATTTTTATTAAGGCCGCTAAGACTCGGCATAATTTTCTCGTTACCCATCAACACGGTGTTGGCGCGGCGACGACTGCCCTCGGCTACTGACAATATTCCAGTAATTTGTTGGGCATTAGCTGAACGTAATGAAGCTCAGTGTCGGCGACGTTTTTGTGAAGTTTAAGATGTAATTATGAAATTCAGAGTGTTACATTCGGCGGATTTTACTCGCCATGGTATTGAACTGAAGTTTCACTTGAAATGTTTAAGATTAATCGAATGTGGTTATCGAAGTCGAATATGGAAAGTGTTTTTATTTACAATTTTTGTAAATGATTTCAAATTTTAAAGGATAATAAATAATTATTAATTACTACTACTAGCTTTCCGCCACCGGCATCGCCCGCGAGGTCTTGTATTTATATATAAAACAGTCCTTTTGAATAGCCACAAAATGCATCAAAATTCATTGCGTAGTTTTAAAGATCTAAGCATAAACAGGGAAGACGGCAGAAAGTAACTTTTTTTTATACAATTTGATTTTGAATTTGAAAGGATGTAATTGATTTTCACGCTAAATTGTAATAATATTTTATTAATTTAGCGTAAAATTCAAATAAAAAATAAAAAGTCATTTAAATCAATAGCCGATTAAAGATATCATAAGATAAACACCCAGTTGTAAAGTCATCCATTAAAATTGTCATTAGTTCAATTGATATTAGCGATACAATTTTTCAGTTTCAAAACATTCATTAGAGCTAAATTGTTATTAATGCTAAATGGACTTTTGTGCAACTGGGTGACAATCTTCTAATTCCATCATATTTTCGGATTCATGAATTTAGAAATTGGAAAAAACTACGTCTAATATTGTATTACGAGTAGCAATACTATTTTTAATTAAGTCTGTTCAATGACGATGTTGCCAGCCATTAGACACAGATTCAAGTATAAAGTATATAGGTGGATATAAAATAATAAAACATCTTCATGTTTCACGAGTTTATTCTAACGCAAGGTCCATTTAGGTCGGCCAAATTTAATAAACCACCCCAAAGATTGTGGGCACTCAACGAACCACTATTTAACAACGACCAGCGATCGATTTGACACGATATAAAGACACTTGGGCGACTTGCACACCGTCTCGTATCAATAATATAAAGATGGCTGAAAATTGGAACTGCCACTTCAAATGCGTTCAGCTTTCGAAGTGGCACGAGAATGCGATAACTAATAAAGAGCAATTTTACTTAACAAGTACGTATAAATTGGTATTTTTTTATTTGAAAGCTTTACTATGGGTTACATTTTTTGAAACGGGGCCAGTCAAAGTCATAGCTTATTCCAAAATGGGCAACTCTATTTTTTGTTTTGTTGATTTATTACATTTGTAGTATTTTTTTAATGAATTTCTACTGTTTTAACATCGCTGTAATTTTAACAGACTAAAAATTACTGCTGGACTTTTAATATTCTAATAAATCCTGTGGATAAATCCAATAGTGTTAATATTTTTTCCAGAATTGGATTACAAAAGAGTTTCTTATCAAAAGGTGCGATTAAATCCAGGTATAATTCATATTTATATAAATACCTATTGTCTCAGGCTTATTTTTTAAATAAACCATGTCACATACGTTGTAAATGCGGTCGTCGCAGTATCCACAGGGC